GGGCATCTATGGCTGTTGTGGTGGTGCCGGAGGCAATGGTGGGAATTAGTGTCAAGCTAAAGGGATTCTTCGCTCTTGATTGTAATTTTCCTTATTGGTTGGTGTTCCTTTGTGTAAAGGCTAATATTTTGTTGTCTTTTTAATTTTGTCATGTCAGTGTCTACGTGGATTGTACTATGATCTTTACGATATAACTGAGACACATATTGCCTGCAAACAAAATAAAGTGGACGCAAACTCCCTATATTTGACCTAGAACTGGTTGGTTGTTCTAAAAAGAGAGAGGGACGGTTGGTATGTCATGGCGTGGGATGGGACAATTTCTAGTTAATTCTATCGAGGACGGGGATGTTTGAAAATTATCTTGTTCCACCGAGGTGTTTTTGTTGGGAATCATTGCATGGAAAACAAAAAAAAATTCTACGCACACGCAATGATCTATCCGTAGAGATGCATAGCAACGAGGGGAGAGTGTGTCTATGTACCCTCGTAGACCGTAAGCGGAAGCGTTTCACAACGCGGTTGGTGTAGTCGAACTTTTTTCGCGCTCCAACCGATCTAGCACCGAACGCACGACACCTTCGCGTTCTGCACACGTTCAGCTCGGTGACGTCCTCCGTCTTCTTGATCCAGCAAGACGGCGAAGTAGTAGATGAGTTCCGGCAGCACAACGGCGTGGTGACGGTGATGGTGATGTGATCTCCGCAGGGCTTTGCCTAAGCACTACGAAAATATGACTGAGGGAGTAAATGGTGAACGGGGGCGTCGCACACGGCTAAGACAATGTTGTGCCCTTGTGTGGTGTCCCCTGTCCATGTATATATAGGTGGGAGGGAAGGAGGCATCCCCTAGGGCGCCCCAAGAGACCTGGCGGCAGCCCTAGGGCTGTTGCCTTGCCCTGCGCCCCCCCCCCCTCTTTCCTTGTAAGAAGAAGGAGGAAGGAAAGAGGGGGAGAGGGAAGGAAGGGGGAGTCCTACTCCACACTTCCCTTTCCTTCCCCTCTTTCCTTCTCCTCCTTATAGGGCCGGCCACTATAGGGGCGCACCAGCCCCTTGTGGGCTGGTGTGTTCCCTCTCTTGGCTCATAAGGCCCATATCTTTGCTGGGGGTGCCCGAAACTCCTTTTCGGTGAACCGATAAGTACCTGGTACCCTCCGAAACACTTCCGGTGTCCGAATACCATTATCCTATATATATCAATCTTTACCTCTAGACCATTTTGAGACTCATCGTCATGTCCGTGATCTCATCCGGGACTCCGAACAACATTCAGTCACCAAATCACATAACTCATATAATAATATATCATCAATGAACGTTAAGCGTGCGAACCCTACGGGTTCGAGAACTATGTAGACATGA